TGCTTGTCAACCAGACGATGAAGGGTCGTTACATCGAGTGTCTCACAATGCATCTCAAAAAACTGAACCAAAGAATCACCGACTCCGTTGCCGAAGTGGTCATGCTGAGCGACAAGGTTATTCAGGACCTTATCGACAGCATCCGAACCCAACTGCAGCCTCTCTACCGCGTCTGCGATTCAATCGCCCTACTAGACATGATTGCATCATTCGCACAAGCAAGTTCAATGTACGATTGGAGGAGACCAGAAATATCAGATACTCTGGCGCTGAAAGCTGCTAGGCATCCCATCATGGACAAGGTTTGGCCCACCCACTGGTTGCCTCAACACATGCTGATCGTAGGCAGACTCTGAAGGGTGGCTTCGTACCAAATGATTATTACGCTACGGAGGAGCACCGTTTCCAGATTGTAACCGGCTGCAATATGAGTGGGAAAAGCACTTACATCAAAAGTATCTCCCTGCTCCAGATCATGGCACAAATTGGCTGCTTCGTGCCTGTTGAATACGCCAGTTTTCCCATTGTCCACAATATCTTCGCTCGTGTGACTACCGACGACAATATTGAGTCCAATATGTCAAGCTTCTCGCTTGAGATGAGAGAGATGGCTTTCATCCTTAGGTACATAGTGTTGACGCAGGAGAGGTTCCAGTACTGACATGTCCCAGCAATGTCACCCACAATAGCATCGTCATCATCGATGAGCTAGGTCGAGCCACAAGCACTCGAGATGGACTAGCTATCGCGATCGCCATAGCCGAAGCCCTCATACAGAGCCGTGCCATTGTGTGGTTTGCAACTCACTTCACAGAGCTTGGTAGGTCCCCTAGCACAATCCCTTGACTTAGCTACAGGTAGATCTGGTCGGGAGCTGACTCAATATGCCTTAGCCGACGTCCTAGCCGATCGTCCGGGAGTACTGAATCTTCGTCTCGTCACGCAGGTTTCGACGACGGACAATAACGTACCCAAGTTGACTATGATGTACAAAGTTGAGTCGGGAAAGACTGAGGAGTTGCTCTATGGCATCACACTTGCGAAGGCAATGGCATTTCCCAAACGGTTCCTGGAAGTTGCCGAGGAAGTTGCTGTATCGCTGCATCAACGAAGGGAACAGAACAAGCAGTCTTCTCAAGCGAGGAAGATGCTCAACCGACGCAAGCTGATACTCAATCTTCACGAACAGCTCAAACAGGTGAAAAGTTCAGAAATGGATGATTCATCGATGAGAAGCTACCTGATACGTCTACGAGAGGAGTTTGTCTTGCGAATGGAGGCCATCGAGAACGGTGGCAATCAAAGCAGCAGCAACGCTAGTGAGGCTCTCGGAGACAGGGTGGACGGGGAGGATGGGGAGTTCGATGATGAAGACGTCTTTGACGCTGTTGATGCCGAGTCACTTTGGAGCAGCTGAGTGGAATACTTGAGGAAACGCGATCTGAAGATGATTTTTGAAGCAACATGCTTCTCTCATTGCTAGGTTGTGTTATATGTATTGACTCGGCCACCTACTTGACTGTTGTTCATGAAATACACGTGTATCGTAGTTCGCTTCTTCTAACAGGAACACGCAAGATAACGCGAGAGGTCTGGTTCGCTCAGTGACTAGAACCGGGCTTTCTAGCGGCTTGGGCTTCTGGCATATTGTGTCCAAGACTGCGTACACAGAGCCATGAGAATAACTAGACCTGTGTTAGTCTTCAAATGGACGGTCGGAGCTTCTTGGGCATAGAAGTAGCAAGGTGCATCATCCCAGTGCTCTTGAATTAATGCCATTCGCAAATTCCTACGGGCTGAGTCTGGCTTGGAAAGGGCAAGAAGCACCCACCGCTCCTTCCCTCCAGGGCATAGGGGGTTTGTCGAACAACAGGCAGGCACCAACCACCCTCGAGCCTTGCATCTTTCCCTCGTCGCCTCCACGGTACCTCCCCATCCACCCACCTTGCCGCGTCTATCGGGTACAACGTTTTTCTTTCATCGATCGACTTCACACTCTGTCTTGCGGCATTTTCTTTCACATCCAATTCATTCCCCCCCTCTGATCTCAATTATCTTGTGCACTGCACCACGCCTCAGCGGCCTTTTGCGCGCTATGAAGAGCCCGCCTCATGAGGACGGCGAAGAGGCCATGGGGGAGTCCGATCTACCATCGTGAGTCCCTCCAAGTCTCCGTTTATCTTCGCCATGCTGACGTCTCATAGCCTCTGGGAGACGAAGAAGGACGCCGACATTCTTCTTACAATGGGTGCCAGCAAATGGGAACTTCATGACAAGGTGGTACGCGGAAAAAGCGGCTTGATCGATCACATCCTAGAGATGGTTCAGATGGTAAGCTCCTCATGCAGCATATCGGCTCGCGAGGTCGAGCCCGGCCTCCAAAGTGACTTTGAATACTAACGACCGTCTCCAGAAAGAAGGAATGAGAAAGATTCCACTGAAGGAGCGCATGTTCCCTCATTCAGCCCTGAACACAGTCTTGAAGTACTTCTACCTTGGAGGTGAGTGATTTCTTGTACCTTACGAAGGCGGAGTGTGCTAATAATTAGCAGAAAGCCTGATCACGGAAAAGACTGAAGTGATAGACCTCCTCTCCTTGTACGAGGTATCCGCGACACTCGGCATTCTCCCGTTGCAAGAGAGGATTGCTTTCCAGGCAGGCAACTTGCTTGGCGAGATCCTGTCCAGTGGCACTGACGGAATGGGAGATTTCTACATTGTCATCGAGGTCATCATTGCCGAGCAGGACAACTCGTGGGCATTCATGCACGAGGAGATGCAGCGAGCACTCAGCCCCTATCTCCTCAAGCTGCTTCAACAGGACACTTTCGTGGACCTCATCAAACAGAACCCGGCATTCTGTCTGGAGATTCTTTCCACAGCTATCGATCGCATCGAGATACTGGAAGACGCTGCAAAGGAAGCATTCAGTGTGAAGGGCGCCAGTGACATCGGCACCCAAGCCGTGATCGAGCATGGCAGTGGTATTTCGAGATGTTATGGTAGGTACTTGGCCGTCGAGTATCGGCTCCGCCTTCACTAACACAAAGAAGTCGAAGCAGGAACACAATCAGACATTCCGCTGCCGCACACTCCGAAGAAAACCATCCCTTCGGCCACAGGCAATGGTGACCAGCACCCATACTCTGTCGATGAGACGACTCCTCGGCCCAGAAAGCGCGAATCCATGGTAAAATTGGGCACAGAGTTCATCAGTCGACTGGATGAAGCCAAACACTCTTCGCAGTCTATCCCTGGACCGGCGAACAAGTCTGGAACGGTGGAGGATCCCAATCCCCCTTCCAAAGATGCCAGAGGTAAATACGTTTTCAACCATCCGGCGAGTTCTGGTTACATTCTCGAAACACTTCGGGATCCTTTTCACACGTTTCATAGGCTGATTGTGCGATAGTGAGCCAAATTCCGCAAGACTTCAAGTTCGACTTTCAGGCAAAGAGCTCCGAAGCCGTGAGTATCTCAACAGGTATCAAGCAGAGCCAGGTTTCCAGTCTTTCGGCGCCGCCGAGAATGGTCCTTGCAAACGGGGCTGTCTCGAATGTTCGCACTCACTCATCGTCATCATCACATGCATCTACTCACTGGGAGTCTTGCAGCGAGGGTGGTGAAAGAGCTGTCCCGGTCATCGACATGAGCAACTCAATTGATCAGTCTGTCTCTATTGAGCCTTCATCGCACATTGGTGCAGCGCCGGAGTCTGAACACCAAGATGAGAAGACACAAGCGAGCTCCAGAAACAAGAAAGGCACCAATTTGGGGAACTCATCGTTAGATTCCTCCAGCCATACCCAGAGGGAAGGCGCGCCAACATCCCCGTCTGAAGACTCTGGTGCCCGTCAGCCCAAGCAAACTGCAGTTCCTGCCATCTATGAGCGGTCCGGTCCCTCATACGCTTTCAACAGCGACAGCCTCCCTCGAGGCTTCCAGTTCTCTGGTGGACCGCAGCCGGAGCAACCCAACATCTCTAGTAGCAAGGCTAGTCCTAGCCACGCTCAGGGAAAAACGACAGCTGTCACGGGAGTAGTTGAAAGAGAGCGAAGGGAATACGTGTTACGCGGGTCTGATGTCTCACAGACCGAGGTGAAATCTGCTCCCGCCATTCCGGAGCAGTCAAGTCGCTCATACGCCTTCCACAGCGCAAGTCTACCACGAAGCTTCCAATTCGCTGGGGGTGCCCAAGGAGAGCACTCCAAAGAGCCGATTGTCAAAGCATCAAGCAGTCAGACACCCAACACCAAAGTCTCCAACAGCTATGATCAGCAGAGTGCCTCTTCGTCTTCCCACACCAAAGTGAAGCCGAGCCCTTGGAAAGCCGACAAAGCAACGGCGAAGCAAATAAGAAAAGGCCGGCTGATAGTCGAGCCTCCTGGTGAGTCGCCAAAGCCGTTCAATTTTTGGTGGTGCGTGGTTCTGCTTTGCCACTGGCTGCTCTATTATCCGAAGGCCTTCTTCTCACCTTCACCACAGAAACCTCCTCCAGCTCACGAACAAGCTTCAATCTCGAAGGGGAAGATTTGGAGAAATGCTGCAAACAGTCTTGAAGTTGACAGATCTCCCGAAGCTCATCAGGGAAATCAGTGACGCAGCATCATGCGGGTTCTCGGCCGGGACTCAGCATTCCAAGATACTGTATGAGTACTGGATGAGCGAGAGGAATGCTGGGAGAGGATGCATTCGAGGACAGAGGCATCCAACACGTGTTTATTGGCAAAAAGTACGGACATCCCTCCAGAACATCGCAGGGTATGCTGACATCACCTCAGTACTGAAGGTTTCCATCCAAGAAACAAACCCTTGTGGATCACGTATCCTTGGACATGATGGTCTGAAGATATTGAAGTCTTAGAGGGGATGATGGTGGAGGCAGCAAGTGAGATGTAGTAGCGGCCATCACGGAAGTCATGGCATGATACAGACTTCCCAATGTCAGGGTAGCCTCGTAGATAGATCAAGGCCAAGAAGACTGAATGCAATTTACTGTCTTATAATTGGGCCTTCTCCGTCCGGTTGCCCTGCTCGTCAAACCAGATCTTGGTCCCCTTGATCATTGACTCCTGCAATGCCGCACCGATCTTGACAGCAGCCACCGCTGAAGTCAACTTGATCGGCACAGGCTTATCCTCCAACACGCTCTCGGTAAACTCAATCGCCTCGGTTGTGAAAGCAGCCCTGAAACGGTCCCAGTACGTTTGTGGCAGCTCTTGCCGGATGCCTCCCGGCGTGTAAATCTTTACATGGTTCTCCGCCGGCAACAGGTTGACTGACAACTTGCCCTTGGTACCAATAATTTCTGTAGAGTCCTCCTGGCCCGCGGCCATCATGCGCGAAGCATACAGATACGCGATGCGCCCATCGTAAAACTCGACCGTGCCAACAGCGTTGTCGCGATCATTGTGCTTCCGCAGGTCCGGCTCAACTGCCGTGATGCCGACGGCGTGGACGGACTTGACCTTGGTGGTCTCCTCGTCAAAGAACCAGAGCGCGAGGTCAATGTCGTGGATACTGCAGTCGACAAAGATGCCGCCCGAGAACTGGGCGTAGGCGACGAAGAAGCCCGAGGGGTCGAGGACGTCGCAGGTCTGGCTGCGGAGGATGGCGGGGCGGCCGATGAGGCCTTGTTGCATCTTTGCGTGAGCGTCGCGGTAGGAGGCGTCGAAGCGGCGGGAGAAGCCGCACATTACTTTGAGATCTGGGCGTTTTGCGGCTGCGTCTACGACGGTTTGTGACTGTGGCCGTGTTGTTAGTTACCTTACAACACATACGTTCAGATGGGAAGGACAAAAAACTTACAACTTCAACAGTGGTGCCCAATGGCTTCTCACACAAGACATGCTTGCCCTTTTCAATGGCCTTGTTGGCCTGCTCTGCGTGGACAGAGGTCGCGGACGCCACGCAGATGGCTTCCAGCCCCTTGTGGGCGAGCATATCGTCGTAGGACTCGTAGACGGTGACGCCGTGGGGGGCGAGGTTCTCGGCGGCCCATTGGCGCTCGCCAGCATCGGGTGAGCTGACGGCCACGAGGGTCGCGCGGGGCACGTTCTGGTGGAAGTTGAGGGCGTGGCGCTTGCCCATGCGGCCGAGGCCTGCGACGCCTACTTGGAGCTTCTTGGTTGACATTTTGCTTCTTTGAGGTTCTGGTGATGTTTCGTGTAGTGATTGCTGAGGTGGTCGGAGCGTGGTCCGGTGTTCGGGATGTGACTTATGATCGTGTGGAGGGTGGCGTGGGGTCTATGTCTATGTCTATTTTCTCTGGTATGCAAATCGAACGGGAGCTTGACGGTCGTAAGGGTATCAAAGATGGAAGAATGTACGAATAATGGCGGTGACGAGGACCGGTGGGATGCTCCTCCTCTCTAGTCTGAGACAACTGGCGCAAATGTACAACCTGGGAGAAGTTGAAAGGTACCGAGGACGGCTTAACATAGCTCTACAAACAGCTAGGGACCTCTGGTGTCTTATATCCCATAGCTTTTCATACGGAACCTCACCGTCCTCGGAGCTTTATCGGAAACCATTTCCCGACACGAGTAAAGAGCTCCATCGCGGGGCAGCTCTGACGCTGTTGAGGGGACCATCTCATGCCAATTGACCAGTGGGAAAGTGGAAGCGCATGTCGGAATCCCACAAAAGCGCGCCCAAGAGTCAAGACGCGTCGAGGAGCCCACGTGAACTTGCAGCAATGCTGAGCTGTAAGAAGGCTTTGAGGCATCTCGAAACTTGGCTTGCAACCGGTGTAAGACAGCCCACTTTCCTCTTTCCACGAATGAGGCAGGTGGGGGGTTGGAAATGAACAAAGAAGAGCTTCGCATTGGTTGGGCGTTCTATCGGAGTAAGTTTCCCCGATTCTCAACTTGGCGTCCATGGCAACTTTGTCCGTTCTTTATGTCTTACGGGCAGATTACGTGAACGAGACCGAGCTCCGCGTACAAGCTCGCCACCATGCGACTAAGTATGGTACACTGCCAATATACCCCAATATCCTAAAGCTAAAGAAGAAACTAAGAAAAACTTGTTGGATTTGTTTAGGAACCTGGGGTAGCCGACAAGTGTGTGTTCCAGAACTGGTCATGCCCTGCATGTGTCACAATCTCAGAGATAACATGTATTAACCCGCATTACGGATACGGGGTAATGTCCGTGTTCATTGAGTCTATCTGATCCTCCGCATTGCCTAGATCCGCTCTGTCGGGATCACCAGATTCCTTCCCCGTACACCACCCCCCTCCGCTTTCCTTAACCTTGGTGCCGGTTTCTGGGGTACGGGGTACTGGGGAAGGCCAGATGACCGGAGATGAAGTCGTCTTAGTCCCTCCCTGCAGGCTTGTGCGTTTCCATACTCGTGGCAGAATTGTCTGTGGTCATTGAGTCTTTACCGTATGCATCAGTAGGCACACGCAAAGGCATTAACGGAATCCTAATCCCGATCTCTAAAGATAACATGCTGTAACTAGAGATACAATAACATAGTAATACTGCAAGATGCGGTAGGCAAATATGTTGAGTACTTGGAGACATGAATAGTCATGAATCGTCCTCCCACCCCCACGCCCTCTTCAAATGCGACTGTGCCGACGCAGTGGGCCACATGTGCTCAACATCCGTCTTCACCAAAATATCCAATAGTGCTTTCTGCTCGGCATGCTCGACGAACCTGTCCCCGCACGCGGTGACACCCATGCAGGCCGTAAACATGGCTGGTATAGTCTGCTTATTTGATAGTGCGGCGCCACATAGTTCTCTGACTTGCATACGAATGTCGTTCTAAGGATTCAATGTTAGCCGGACCTTTAGTCGCGATTATGAGAACGAACGGAACTTCTTACATCTAGCTTTTGTCGGGCCCGAATTCGACTAGGTCCTATCTTAGGGATGCTCTCGTCGTGGCACATCAAGAGCGCCCGTGCTAACGCCCCATGCACATTTCCAATCACTAGGCCATGTTAGGTGGCTCGTTCACTGTGTCGCCACGAGCAGAGACTGGAAACTAAGTCCTAGCCTCAGGGAAGGGAGAAAACGAACCGACGGCATGATTGATGTAAAATATTTGCGGAAATACCAAGCCTGAAGCAAAGTCCGGCTCAGAGTACGCAATAGGCAGCCAAGAAAGCGGTCTCGCGCGTAGCCAGTTGTAGTCATACTCAACCAGCCGCTGATACTCGCTCTTGCGGTTCTCCACCTCGCCGAAACAAAACTGCACCACCTCGGCGCAGTGCACGACGATGCGATTCGCCCAGCAATCGTCATCGGCCGGCGAAAAGGACCTGTCGATGAAGAGGTGGTCGAGCTTGACTTTGATCGGCCGCTGCGTCGCAAACGCCATGGTGATTTCCTGTCGGAGGCCCACCCAGAATGAAGCCTGTCGGAGGGAGCTCGGCGGGTCGATGGCGGATGCGTTTTGCGTGTTCATGAAGAGCTGAATGCCGAGGAGATGGCCTTCGTGGTCTGTCCCTATAAGCGGGACGTCGAGCTCTTCGAGCGTGCGGAGGAGGATTGTCGCCGCGAGAAGGTCATCGTTTGTGAGGGCCGAAGAGTCGTTTGAGATGGTAGTGAGGTGCTTGAGGCATTCTTGGTGGTAGCGGTCCGAGGCGTAGGGGTCATATTGTTCGTGGAGGCTGAGGTGGCGGGAGGAGAGGGCGAAGATTGCGTTGAGGAGGGTTGGACATGTCGTTGCTCTTCGTGGAACAACGATTGCAAAGTGTCGTCTTGCGTCGCATAGGTCGAACTAGAAAGGGGGTTAGAACAGCCGTGGAGTTGCCAGGTCATACGCCCAAGGTAAAAAGCGTGTGACAACTCACCCAGGTGCACATGTACTCTAGATAGTACTTCATCAACCTCACCTCATGAGGTTGCGTAAAAGGAAACACGACATCGTCATGATGCTCAAAGTTGGCCAACCCGAGAGTTGACCCAGATGGAATAGCGCTGTAAACAGATGGCAAAGTTGTTGGTGTCTGCACCTGCACCTCTCTCCAACTCGCAGCCGGCGTAGAGGCGGGTTGGCTGTGAGGACTCGGGACTAGAAGCCGGGCATCACGATAATCTCGGCTATGCGAGTCGATGATGGGAGCCGGGGATGTGGATGCGGCGTCATCGGGTTGCCGTTGTTCTCGGCGTCGTTGTTGTTCTAGATCCACTAACAGCGCGGATGATGATAATGACGAGCCAGGATCAGGATGTGCCGCTGGCAGTGGTACCCGCTGACCCTCCACCGGTGCAAGCTGCGGCTGTAGTGCTGCCGGTGGATGGAGTTGCAGTTGCGCTTGTGGTTGCGGCGGCGGGCTGCCGTGTTCAGACCAATAAAGAGCCTCAAGTTCCTGGGTTTCATCGACAAAGTGTACTATGTGACCGAGTTAGGCAATTTTGACAGGAAAGAAAACGATGTCGGGATAAGCTTCGTTCCAAGAGGATTCCAAACAAGGCATTTCTCGCCGTTTTTGCTCGAAGATCTCCTCCTCAGTTTCCCCAACTTCTCCAACTTGCAAGGCCTTGGAGGTGGGACTGGTAAACTTACATCGCCGCGGATAGGGCACCCACGTCTGCTCCGTAGCGCTCGGCGTCCTAAATCAGCGAGACAAAACCCATAGTAAGCGATCAGCGTTCCCGCAAAAAATAGCAGTACAATATGGCGCATTACGGAGTCTAGAGTTGCAGATTCGTTCCCGTGACGAAAACGAAATGGGGGTACGACGTATTGTAGTGGTGAACGGAGCGGGCGAGACCATTATCTTGGTTCCGCTTTGCGTAAATCTTGACTCTTGCTTCACCAATGTCGCAACTCGCACGTCGTGTAGTGTAATTCGCAATTGGGCGGGAACGACTGGGGTGCCACAGAGCCAAGCACAAGTTTGCCAGAGTTGATGATAGAAAATGAGAGGAATTTGGCCGTCACTTACTCAGTGGCATGCTTGAATCGAGTTGCGGGGGCCGGAATACAGTCCTTGCCAGTTGCTCTGCATCGAATACATGATTTCAAGTAGACGTCGGGCCGAGAAGAAGACGGAGACGCATCGTCATCTGTGCTCCACGCGCATTTGAGATGTTGCTTTTTGCAAGTCTATTGTTCATGCTTATTAGCTTTGGAGTTGAGTATGTCCGCCAACGTGGGTACAGTGGGAGTCGGGATCGGATTCAAACTCCGACCGGCAGGCAGTCCAGTTTGGTCATCTCATCCCACAGATTCCACATCGCCAACCCCGGATATCTCAGTCAGCAGCAATTCCACAACTTCTGATTGCTTAGGCGAAATCTGGGGTAGAACACGGATCACGGAGGGTCGGGGGTAAACGACAAACTCTGGGGAAACGGGGTGAAGAGCCAAAGCGAATAGGGCCGACTTACCAGACATGTCGTCGACATGATTTGACTCCCACCTCTTTCAGTCTCTTTTCGTCCTGCCTTGTCGCAGTTTCGTGAAATTGAGATGATCACGACGATGTAGGGAAGTCGGGGGATAAAAGCATTTCCTCCTTGGTGAATTCAGGAAATCTGTGCATCGGGGCAAACTGCTTGCGACTATGAAAGAGGAAGAAAACCCCTAGCTTCTCACCCTAGGCCTTACAGCCGTCGGTGAGGCTCCTTCGGTTCAAATTTCCACGCCAACCATGTCCTGGCCTCCTCCTCCTAGCCTATGACGAAAGTGTTAATGCAGGTTGGAAATGGCCCCTGACTCGTGTTGGGGAGAGGCCACCCCCTGGTTGGCCAGCCCCCATCCAAATCCATGGAGGCTCGGCACTGCAAATCCACGGCCAGATTCCGGAGTATTCTGGTATTTCGAGACATAGCGTACAGAAACCCCACCTAACCCGTCAATTCCCCACGGGCAACTCATGTGCGAGAATCTTCTGACAGACGGCCCCTGTACTGCGTGGAAACCGCGTTCTTATCAGCTTGGAAGTGCCAGAAGCACGCAGAAGACTCTAATCATGTGCAGCCGGTATCTTGATCTCTTCGACGTCCTTCCATAGTCCCACTCAGGCACTCCGTGCTCGATTGTCAAACGGTGTCTGGAAGGGCGTACATCGTCTGTTGAGTTCTGTCATCGAACTTGATCTCGAATGCGTCTTCAATTCCTCGCAAACACCCCCAAAACTCCAACTGCCAAGTTCTCCAAACACCGTGGGGCTGACGAGGGCGGGCATAACCCCGGCCGTATTCTGTCTCTCGCTGGTTCGTCGTCAGTGCCTGAATTCGTCCTCTCTGCCGGACTGATGGCCGAGGGGTGCCCCATGCTGTCCGTGTCTGTCTATCTTCTTCCCACCCCCGTATTTGGTGTAGCGTGAGTCGTGATTGGCGTCTCCGCGCAAGGAACGCTGGAAGCCTGACACGGTTTCCCCAATATCCCCAGAAAACCCATCTTTGAAGCACACCCCGCGATTTAGCGGCTCCTCCACGTCCATTCTTGACCAACTAGCATCCGGCCATTGGTCGTGGTACTCATGGCGGCTATTGTGCGCAAGCGTATCCGTAGCGTTCCTCTTCCCCGTCCCGTCCTCTCTTCCTCCCCCCCCCCCCCCCGTGCCCACCCTCGTCACTCATCAAGGCTCGGCGTAAACAAGTATCTACGGCTTTCCAAAGGTGTGGATCCCCCCAACCGTGCCCCCTAGGCCATCAATGAATTTACATGACGGGCGTAGTCGGGATGGCTTGGCCATGGGCCAGGCGGTGGCCCCGAAAGTCTCAGAGTTCTATAAAGACGACGTTGCGTGCCATGTTTGACGTTGATCTCGACTCCCTCTCCTGCGACTCAGGCGGGTTCGACCAAAGCTTCTTCCTTCTTCTTCAGTGATACCCCTCCCGATTTCTTCTATTTCAGTTTCATCAGACTGATCCGGTCTGTCGGATTCGTGTAATCTAAACCTCGTCCCTGGCTCATCCAGTGCAACTCCAGAACCTCAACCTCACGGCTCAGTCCAAGTGAGTTCATCCCAAAGACCCATATACACCAGCTTAGTCACAAATCTGTTTCACCACACTTCATTCATACAACAAATTGTGAAAACTCACCTCATACTGACATTTCCACCACAACAGCTCAACATGGGTGCCCGATCAACCTCCGCCTCCGAGGTGGAGAAATCCTCAACCAACTACCCAGGCGTTTCTACCGAGCAACAAGAGACCGTCCTCTCCGATGCCTCCCTCGAGCCCTACGGACCCTCTGGCTTCAAGGGAATCTTCGTATCCCACTATGTAGCTCTCTGCGCTGCCTTCTCGGCAATCGGTGGTCTCCTCTTCGGTTACGATCAGGGTGTTATCTCAGTCACCCTGGTCATGGACCAGTTCCTTGAGCGTTTTCCCGAGGTATCTGACCACGCTGCTGGCTCTGGCTTCAAGAAGGGTCTCATGACTGCCATGATCACTTTGGGTGCCTTCATTGGTGCCATGAACCAGGGTTGGCTTGCCGACATGATCTCCCGAAAGCGCTCCATCATGGTTGCTGTTGTCATCTTCACCATTGGCTCCTCTATCCAGACTGCGGCTGTCAACTATGATATGCTCGTTGGAGGTCGATTCATCGGTGGTTTGGGTATTGGCATGTAAGTTCCATCAATTTCCCCTTTCTGAACATCTCGAATACTCACATTTTTAGGCTTTCCATGGTCGTTCCCCTCTACATCTCCGAAATCTCGCCTCCCGAAATCCGCGGTTCTCTCCTCGTCTTCGAACAACTTTCCATCGTCTTCGGCATCGTCGTAGCCTTCTGGATCACCTACGGCACGAAGGACATTCCCAACCACTGGTCCTGGCAGCTTCCCTTCCTCATTCAGATTCTCCCCGGTCTCCTGCTTGGATTCGGCGCCATCTTCCTCCCCTACTCCCCTCGCTGGCTGGCATCAAAGGGCCGCGAAGAAGAGGCCCTCTTCAACCTCGCAAAGCTTCGTGTTCTCCCCGACACCGACCCGCGCGTTCGCCGCGAGTGGATGGAGATTGTTTCCGAGGCTCGCTTCCAGTCCTCAATTCTTGCTGAACGCCACCCTACACTTGTCGGAGGCGGTAGCATTGCCAGCACGATTAAGCTCGAGTTTGTTGCTTGGGGTGATTGCTTCAAGAAGGGATGTCTGAGACGTACGCACGTTGGTGCTGGTCTCATGTTCTTCCAGCAGTAAGTTGCGATGGCAAAATTAATTGTTCAAAGATTTGACCAACATTTCGACAGATTCGTCGGAATCAACGCCCTGATCTACTACTCACCTACCCTGTTCGCGACTATGGGACTCGACCACAACATGCAGCTGATCATGTCCGGTGTTCTCAACTGCGTTCAGTTGGTTGGTGTTATTCCCAGTCTGTGGACCATGGATCGATTCGGACGTAGATCGCTTCTCTTGACAGGTGCCGTGGGCATGACGATCTCGCAAGCCGTCATCGCTATTCTCGTTGGACTGTACTCGAACGACTGGCCCAGCCATACCACTCAGGGCTGGGTCAGTGTGGCTTTCTTGTTGATGTACATGTTTGTCTTTGGCGCGACATGGGGACCTGTGCCCTGGGCCTTGCCTTCTGAGGTGTTCCCCTCTTCGCTCAGAGCCAAGGGTGTTGCTATCTCTACTTGCTCCAGTAAGTTGCAACTCGGTTCTTGGTCCTAGATTTTCACGATGTTTGCTAACATTTAATCTCCCAGACTGGATCAACAACTTCATCATCGGCCTCGTTACTCCTCCCCTTGTCCAGGGAACCGGCTTCGGCGCATACGTCTTCTTCGCTGCTTTCTGCCTCCTGGCCTTCGTTTGGGTTTGGTTCTGTGTGCCGGAGACGAACGGAAAGACTCTTGAGCAGATGGACGAGGTGTTTGGTGACCGTACTGGACTTGACGACGTGGCGAAGAAGAACCAGATCTTCCGGGAGGTTGTGGATGAGCAGACCCATGCCACGGTCACTCTGTCAGCTTAGATACTTCTGTGTGATATAGAGAGGAAGCAAATGATACAGAATGTCGTAATTAGTGGTACTACTCTTGGTCTCGAGACGAGTCACATTACGATGGTGTCAAACTCTACCCATGACTTCTTCCTGTGAACTATGAAGTTAACGTCAGCGTAAAAGATGGGGAATAGGGGTACCTATGGTCTGTGATAGAGCAGGTATCTTCGTGCAGAATATTCTTCCCATTAGTAAGTGAGAATACCACGGTCTTCAAGCTTGAAACACATGCAAGATGATTGCCTCGCTAACCTGGAGAATCAGGCAAGTTTGGCAAGTACTGTACTTCACCTGGGTGTCCTTACCCTTCACCTTGGGATGAAAGGTGCTTATTGATCATTTATGCCCCTCGGTGAGCCGCCAAACTCCCGCAATCCTTCTGGATTCATACTGGTGATGGCCTGACGGTATGATTCCGGTTGTGAGGGCTACTGTTCGAACCGGTGTTCCGTCACAGTTCGGCTTTATTTTTTCTGATCAAGGAATACTCCCTTTCCTTCAACAACTTGATTTCTTGAATATTTCACCTGCAGTATGACCTAATATTGAGATGGTCGGGCTAATTCTCAATGAATTTCTCAAGTAACATAGATAGAACGATAGTTGGGTATGTTGGCTTGCTTTAAAACTATAATACAGAGAAGTTTTGATATTGTACAAATGTGCCTTCTGCCTGATACATCGGACCTGCCGTAGTGCCAGCGCTGGGGACAATGTCATAAGTAAGTGGCTCATCTGCACCTCCTCCGAACCCTTCCGCGCCGCTCCAATTGCTCCGCTCTAAGGTAGTTGGTCCTTGTTGGGATATTGGCGAAGTGAGCTGGGATGAAGTTGGGGGGCCAAGCATCGGTGTGCTGTGGGTATTGATAATCTGCCTCGGCGTCGCGTCTTGAAATCCCGGCCAAGCTGGCAATGGCCTCTGAGAGACGGGTGCGTTTGTTGCGAATGAGTATGTTTGCGTCATGGGAGTGCTATCTGAGTAGGACCGTGAATGACCTTGGGTTGATCCCATTCGCTGCCCCATACTGGTGCTTGTCGCCATGACTGGAACCTTGACGCCGGTGTGGCTCGGGTTCGGGCCCCACGGTCCCGGTGGAATTCCTCCTGTTTTCCTGAGACCACCCTCGGGAGTTTCTGATGGATATGACTGTGTGAACATGCTCGGTGGCAGTGAACCGAAATGAAAGCCTTGGATTCGCTGGCGCAATTCGACGGGGTATCTGTTGAAGAACTTGTTCGTTTGCGTGGGGATGTAGCCAGCTGCACCCTTCCCTAATAACTTTGCATGCTCATTCGTGAGCTCTTCGAGGAACGCTCTAGACGATCGAGAAGATTCGACCTCGTTGCCAATAGCCGAGAGTTGATACAAGCACTTGTTGACGAGTTCCGAAGAAGACGCAAAAGTCTCTGCTGCCATCGGAGAACTGGCGAACGAAGGAAGCCCGATGCCGGCTCCTTGGTCTTGGCGGTCGTTGGTATAGTGCATCCCGTGGATGTGAATCGTTCCAGCCGTGAAGATGCAAAAGGAAATGAACGCCGGGAGTTCCACCAACTTTGTCTGCATGGCGTGGTCTATGAGCTCAATGATTGCCGTGGCGTGTCGGAAGGCAACTTCCGTTGCCTCGATCACCCAGTGTTGTATCATCATGGCCCCGGCCGGCTCGCTGAGGTGCAATGGGAGAAGCGGGCGGTAGATGAGGCAGTGCACCAGGTGGTAGATGATTTGGCACTCGAGCATCGTGTTTGCTTCTGCTCCTCTCGGGTCTTGGTACAGGTAGTCCGGGTTGCGGCTGATTTCCGCCGCCCATTGGTCGAGATCATGCCGGATCTTGTGGCGATGTGCGAATGCTGCTTGTGTTGTTGGGTTTGTGACGAGTAGGTATCTGTTGGCGTCGGAAAGGATGTGGGCGACCCATACCATCTTCTGTAGCCCGTTGTCTGGGTTGTCTGCGCGTTCTCCTGGTGGCTCGCATTCGACCGTCAGAGAGCACTCGTTGTTTGGTGGCCAGCCAGCCGGCGAGGCTTGTCTGGACGACTGGATAGTTGTCTTGACGAGGGCATCGTCAATGAGTGAGGGTCTCTCGAGCCATGTTGATACGAAAACATTCATCACGTAGCAGGTGCAAAATAACCTTCTCCTCATCTTGCCCTGTGTATGGTTGTAATCGTCGTGTTGTTCTGATCCATGGTACAACTCGAGCGCCAGGACTACGGCCACAGCTTGAGCTGCAGTCTTTCCGTTAGTTCAGTGCAAAAGAAAACGATCACACGCTCTCAACACTCACAAAGTACGCTGTAGGCTTTACGGCCGTTCCCCATTGCCGCAAAAGCTGTCACTAGCAACAGCAAAGCCTGGCAGTTTTCGATTGTAGTGTCTCCTAAGTCTATGTCCTTGAGAGCCCAAGAGGCGTACGTTTCTGCGGAAACATGGCTGCTTGGCCCTCTACCGGGCTGTTCTGAAAATCTACTTTCGTGTCAGGTTCATGTGGTTTTAGTATCTGATGATCACAAATCTACCTAGTTGACACTGCACAGATGGCGTACAGCAACGACTTTGGCATCTTGTTGTTCTTCAGCTTCTGTCTGATGGCCTCCTCGTCAAGGATACGGTACGGATTGCGGTGAAAGTGCGTAAAGTAGGTGTCCACTAAGCCTTCTGCATTGATAATGAAGGGGAATTCACTAGCTCTTTGTCAGTCGGAGAGGACCCTGGGACAGTCGATGGATGTGAGATCGTTCTGCATACTTATTGGCCCCAAAGCTTCCCTCGTGAAAAGCACTGTAGGGAGAAACATCTGATGATGCAGAGCCACAAGGATCGGCACTGTTGTTGCTGTAGACATGCAGTTCGTTGAAATCGGCTGGAATAGCATCGGAACCAGGCGGAGTTGGGGTCTTGTCGGATTTGAGGAGCTCTTCGAGGCCATCGATTCGTTTGATCAAAGCACTCAGCGACTCTTTCTTGGGACCTCGCTTTTTCGGAACACCCTCTGGATTATGGATCAGTTGCTCTGATGCACAATGACGGTGATGATGGATGCTGTAGTTTACCATAGAAACATGACCTCTGATAGAGTTGACAGACTCCACACGCTGGTAACGCTCTGTCGCATTTGATCTGCACGAGTGCGGGACGCCGATCAGAAAACAATCTTATCGGCGGCAGTGGAAACAAAATACCTTGCGAACTTGACATGGCTTGCAGTTCATCACACCCCGTGATGTCTTAGTAGCTGGGCTGTCCTGAGGACTCTGCGATTGTTTTGTGCCCGACATGTTTGCACAGGATAATGTCCGTTGTGCAATGAAGTGATCTCGAGAACCGAAAAAGTGCCAACCGTCATCCCAATCAAGTTCAAGAACGTGCCGGCATGGTTGATAATAAGTGTGGCTGATGTTTGGCTTCTAGGCTGGTCCAAAACATCACATCCAGGCTGAATCGAGGGCGATGAAATCCATGGGTCGTGTTCCGGCACCAACATTCCCGGGTGGGACGCTTGTTTTATGAAGTCATGTATTGTCTTCGCGGTATTTTCTCCAAGTAGTTACTCAACCCCCTCGCTGTGATACCAATTGCACATGGGGAAACTTTAGATGAGCTTATCCTCTCCCCTGAGCTTTCCTCGTTGAAACTGTCTTCACACCGCGGCCTGGTGGGGGTGGGCTTGGGAAAACAAACATGTTCGCTAGGGCCAGGGACCGCCCAGCATCGCTGTTCAAAGGTTGGGCCAGATGAAGTAGCCCCCTAGAAGAGCTCCAGAATCAAACGTTACCTTGTATGCAGTAGTGTTGTGCTCAGAACTTCGGAGGGGCTTGCGTCGCTAACCGCTGGGATGGCACAGACATGTCTGCCATCTGTGACGACTGACGTCTTGTGACAAGTGGCTAAGTGTCAATACATCAACTTCAGATGAAGCAGACTGAGACGAGTGTAAGGTGCCTAGTCCATCCACGGAATGATGATGAGGTACTCTTTTTCACGATTTGCGTCTTTTGGGAACCAGCGATGCCCTGGTATCTACCATCCCGTTGATTGCCGCGTCACCGTGAACGCGGTTAGTGCACATCATTCCTCGGTTGTGCCCAGCAGTTCTTCTCCGCATGTGAGCAGATCATAACAATCGATCGCTAAAGAAGTCAAAGTTGACACCGCGCGGGTGGGCAACCTGCCATTCGATAGTTTCACGGTAGATAATGTTGCAACGCCTCGTCGTATGCGGGGCTCAAGCGAAGTCCATGTCGAACTGGTAACCATTCAGAGATAGTTGTTAGTAAGATGAGGTGCAAAAATTACCCACCTAGGTTAGTAGTTAATAAGGGCACTGCTGTTGCTTAGACAAAATGCATCACATCCGGACCGATTGCAAGTTGACTCTTTGAACGTTGGCCATGACTTTGGTAAATTGCTGCCTGCGTGAAGTCTTCTCAACAATTCAACATGACCTGATCTTCAACCATGATTCCATTCCGACCAGCGAGCTTTGGGCATCTGTGGATCTCCTAAAAAGGTTATTTCACCTGTAGATCACGACCCAACCCTACGGACTGAGGCTTAGAGATCAACAAAAGGTCTTAACTGACAGTCTTATTGAATCCGAGCACAAACCACATCGGGGCAGAGGCACCCAGTTTCAGTTCCCGTGTTCTAACACCACCTTGGGCGCGTGCAACCTCATGCTACTTGCAACGAATCTTGGCCCGCCCAAGAGTCAAAAGAAGTCGGTTGTTTCCGCTAACTACGAAGAGAAGGGTTTCCTGTCAGCTGTCATCCTAAACTCGTGGCAGGTCCGGCGCATCGATACACGAGACGCTTGACAGAAAAAGAGTATTGGTCCCGAAGGATCAAATAAGCTTGTTGCAGGTTGGAAGCATGGAAGGTCCATGACCAGATTCATAAACCTGAGACAGGAACGCGGCGATCGGTCTGGGAGCTCCCGGCTACCGACCAGGGGCTTTGTGAGCTGTCTACTAATGTCTTCTCCGTCGGCGTTTTGGGGGAAGAAATTCCGATGTGATCCGGTTTTTGGTAAATTGCCCATTCCACTTGTAGTGTCGCACACTCCATTGTCGTCTCGACCAGTAGCTAAAACATGCTCACTTGCGGACTTGAGATGGCGTTGGGAGGGGAGCGCGGTATTCGTTCGGGCACAGCGCCCGAATGCTCCTGTATTCAACCGATAGGCCGCCGGTGTTCGAGCTCCCCCGCCGCCGAATATGGGGTATCATTGAAGTAAGGACTCCGCCCCCGAGCTGCTGTCTCTTTCTGTGCCGGGTGATCCGCTTCGCAAGGAGGCCTCTCCGACCGCGCAACTACATGTAACTCGGTCTACAGCTACCGGACGGTTTAAGACGTGCATTCGGCCGAGCCACATTAGTGTTGACTTAATATGCACGACTTCTGATGTCGTGCCTTCGAGCCTGTATGTGGTGTATGCTCATACTAATCACAAAATAGGCTTCCGGGTCTTTCAAACACCACAACATGGTAGGTGCATGAGTGATACCCCACGCAGTCGATCTATAACCTTGGGCTGACATTGAGGCGCTCGACCAACCTCACCTTACTGACACACGCTCGGAACTGTGACCCGACGCAGATACCACATAGAATCAGCTTCTCCGCCTGTCTTCAAGGCTGTCATGTCAGTCCGGTACACTAAGGTATGTCAAGAACAGGTTGGGATGAGGACGTTTGACATGTCAGACGCCAGTGCGTCGGGCCAAAAAGTACCGGAGAACTTCACATCGTGACTCTGACTAGTTTCGTCTCTTTTCATAAGACATCCCACGGCTTGGCAAATTGATTCATTTCTTTCTTCCAGCAATTGGGACTTCACGACTTTGATCGCAAAGGCGTTGGCGCTGCACATGGTTTCTCAAGATTGCCGCCATCTAAGATTCTGCAAAGGAAGGTTACCATCGGCACTTCAGGCTGCTAAACTGAAGTCGCGACTAAAACGATTATGGACTCTAGTGGGTTCTACTGGCGCTCTAGGGGCTTCGATTGCAGGGAAAGAAGAACAGACTTAGCGTTGCGTCCAGCATTGCGATCCACGTCAAAACTTGAGGAAACTGTTCAAGCAAGGGTTCAATCCTTGAGGGTCTTTCGGGCCTTCTCTTGCATCAATGATCATACGATCGTTAACACTTCTTTGACGCGGTTCCATCCTATGAAGAGTCTGTTCGCGGCCTCAATATTTGGATGATTGGTTACGACATCAAAGGGCTGATGTTAAGGTTTGCCGCTAATGTCAAGTACCGTGGTGATCGAATGTGGATGCAAGAGAGCCTCACCGAGTGGTTGGTATTGCATGAAACGGCATTGCCGATAATCTGCAGCGAGTTGTTGCCTGCAGTCCATAGGGGTAGTTACTGGGGTCGTCGGACTCGGACATCGCATAGCGAGATGCACATAGCGCTGTCTGTCCAACGCTCAGCCATTCCCAATGTAGTAATTACATGTAAGCGGTCTCTTGAAGCTAGCAAGGCAAGTCAACGCAAGCATTCAGCACATACTCATTGATCAAAATAACGCGTTCGGGGCCTCGGGCCGAGGGAGTGGGCATTCGCAGATCGAAGACACGAGCTCGCAGCTTCACTTACCTACAATGTAGCTGTAGAATAATGATCACCATCTGCTCTTCGGCCTTCAGGTTGCACTGCGTGCTGCATTGACTTCTTACATGATGAGATTCATGCACTAGGCAGATCCCCAGCTCATTCTGAATGAGAAAAAGGAGATGCCGTAAGTATGAGGTATTTCTTGGAAAACTCGAGCGCCAATTGTAGCAGGGCACACCATGGAGTTCTAGACCATGCTCGCATTCAGTGAAGCTCAAGATTGTAACCAAATTGTTTACCTCTCTGGTTCTCCGGGCCATGACCGAAAGTCAACTTCGTACGACTGCGGGCTGCGGGCTGCGGTGAAGCCGTTGATGGTTCTAGACTCTATTTTACAAGTCAATCGAAAGGATAATCAATTATCCCTACAATGGCAGAAGCGCCAGTGGCTTTCACAAAGACAGGAGACTAAAGTTGAATCTTTCTGTGGTCCGAGTAAAACGCCAGTACCAGCAAGAAACAATAATATTTTTCATGACTCAAGCTGTTCACTCAATTGCTCTCCTCAACTCCGCTATACCAATGTCTAGTCCATTACGTTACAAGCTATCATCCTCGAGAATGGATGGTCAGAACATTGCCTTGATTCAGGTTCAAACTGGAGATCGTTCCGCTCTGTAGCCAGAGTAAAGGGGCCTAAGACTAGGGATGAGAGTCGAACTGGAGGCCAAAGGACGAAACAGCTAGTGCTTTGGCAACAATCAATGTGTATACATGCAAGAGCACACTTACCGCAACACAAAGGAAGGGTCAAGTGCGAGACTGACACACTGTATTTTGGAGCTTGTTACGTACCAAGTTCTATCCGAAAGAACTCCTAGAAAGACACAGATCTCAATTTCAACCAAACGTCAGGTTGTTTTACCTCCATACAGGATCTACCCAGAACAACAGCTGGGTAGAGGAATACAAGCGTAAAGGACAAGACACATGCTTACCGGCTCTTGCTTGCAATGAAAGAAGTGTCCGTTGAATTGTGCTTTGCTGATTCAAGCCAAGGTACGAGCAGTGTGCGGCCTTTCTCGCTGGAACACCACCCAGTCGCTCCCATCATCAATGAGGTCTCAGATGAAATGAGAAGAGAAGTACATGTACGCACGCATAACAATCTCCATGAAAACTCTTGATTGTTCTTCTGTTTGATCCGCGAAGGTGTACGAGGTTGTCAAGGGTACTACGCATCTCATATGGGCTTATGTGCTGCTTCCGTATTACTAGGTAATACGTTATGCTGTGTAAGGTAGTTTACGGAGGTATCCTAAGCCAGGCAGTAGTAGCGCTTCGCTCAGCGCAATCAGCGCGTTAACGACATCGAACTTGAATTGATTGAGCGCCGATTTCTCGGAGGGAGTTGTTTAGATTGTTGAGTTGATTATCAATGTTGCGTTGAGAGGAGCGCTGAGTGGTAGCAGGGAGTTGGAGTAAAATGTCTCCAAGTCTGCGAGACCTGTACCAAGCTTGCTATGAGTTTTCTGAGAAAAGAAGCGTTTTCAGTCTTCAGATCTCACATTCATAGGTCACACTAAAGTACTATCAGCCAAAACTTTGACGAGTCGGTCGTATGGGATGGCGTTCGGCTTCTCCACCGGCCTGAAGTCATAGACGGACCCACCTTCCCCGGAGGCACAATACGTACTTCGCCGGAAGCTTCGGCG